TTTTTCTAGATGAAATGTAAATTTCCATTTAATTGAGACAAAATTAGGAAACCATGATTGTGCCTAGAATCAATTACCACACAAATATTAAGAAACTCGATCCAAACATTAATGTCAAAGACTCAAATAGTCAAATTTTTAGGAACAACGGCCCTTTCACGTATTATTTAACCGGACCACATACCCTATATACCTAGCTATACAGCACGCTGTAATTTCATTGTTGCCTGGAGCAACAACAACATAATATTGCTACCTCCCTCAATAGAGATCATGTATGGTAGGCCTACTTGCCTTTCGAATTGCTTAACACTCACTTCAATTAGTGTTGGATTTCAACAAAGTCAATATCTTGCAAAATAAAGAGAGTTTCATGGGAAGCTAAGGAAGTGTTTTTATTTAGATTTAATTCTTATTTCATAATCTTAAATAAAAAATATATTGTCTCATGACACTATTTATTTGTATTAGTTTTATAGAATCTTTTTAATATTTTTACTTCTCCTGTTTAACTTATATGACAAAATTAAAGCAAAACTTAAACTATATCTGTTTTTAGTGCTATAAGACCCAACTTAAACAAAATATCAAACATATTGTCTCATGCCACAATCTCTTTGCATTAATGCTATCAGTCCTTTCTAATGTTTTTAATTTTTTCTGTTTAATTTATCAAAAAAATATTTTTTAATTTAGACTATACATTAAAGATATAATTCATTTTATGAATTTATTAAAATAACTTTAATGAAGTTATTTTTTATATTATTTTACCAAAAATATTTTATAAATTCATATGATGAATTGTACTTTTAATATACTATTTAGACTACAAAACATGAATCCCTTAATATATATAACAAGAGCAAAACTTAAATTATGGCTTCGTTTCACAACACTTTTTGGTGCTTTACTTTTTTTTTTAATATTTTTTATTATTTTAAAAAATATAAAATATTAATTAAGATAAATATTAAATATGTAAAATATATTTTATATATTTTTTGAAGGTGTTAAAGGATTAAAAAAACTTACAGTTACAATTACATATTATTGTTGTCAAACCAAGGGTTTGTTCGATATAACAGTTTTGGAGGTGACAGTTAATAATTTTATCTAAATCATTAAGAATATGTATTTAATAAATTTACTTATTTTGAAATCGATACAAATTTAGTAAAACTTTTTACTTAACGGGTTGAGACAATGGATAGGGGATTGAAAATGTTACTTAAGGTAGTTTTTTATACCAAACCACTAGCAAATTGGAAAATTTTTAATTTTATTAACAAATTTATCATTTTCAAATTTTTTTAACTTTTGGCCACAGTTTTTAATTAATACTTATTT